TGGGATTTAGATCAACAGATAGGATAAGGGATTGTCCCTATCCACTCAGAGAGTCCAGATCCAAATAAAGATTTGGATCAGGAAACTCCTAATTAGATTAGAAGGGTTTATCTTTATCTGCAGATAAGATAAGGGATTATCCTTATCTCTTAAAGAGAGTCCAGATCCAAATACAAGATTTGGATTAGAAAACTCTTAATGGGATTAGGAGATGCTTTCTTTAAAGTCTATAAGAGAAGCAGGGAGAACCTTCAAGATACAATTCTCAGTTCAGAGATTAAAAAGAGAAAAGAACCTGCAGTTCGACTGCTCCTGTTTTCTGCTCTTGCCGCCATACCAGTTTGATCTCCACCTGTGGGAGCGATCAAGAAGTGTTCTTGATATTACCTTTCGGCATAAAAGGTAATCAGAAGTTGTGCTCACTAGCCCTCCATCAGATTCTTGCTGAAAAATCAAGTTCTTGTTGAAGAGTCATCATGTTGATTCTGCTTCATCCTACACCGTGTCATCTTCGATGGAAGCAGTCTTTGGATCTTTCCTTGGGCGTGAACACCTTCATTGGAGGTTATTGTTACTTCGTATCAGGTATAACCCTCCACTCCCTATTGGTTTCAGATCTGGTCTAGTTTAGGTTCAAGATTGATCCTTGAAAATGCAGTTTTCCAAAATAGGGAATGTGATTCCCACGTGGGAGAGAGAGAAATTTTTAAAATTTCGTCCAACCTTCCTGCAGGATTCGGCCATCCATTTGATGGATCTCTCATCCCTTCACTCAAGTCTTGAAACTCATATAAATACTTAAAAGAAATTATCATGTATTCGTTTTCTAAATATTGTTTCAGCAAAGCATGTCATATAAAAGAGCATGATCATAGAGTGATAATTCTGAGTTATACTTCATAGTTGTCCTTTATTTCACATTGAGAACTCCCAGTTGACACGGACGGTAGATTCGTCCGGCCCGAGAACCACCCAGGCAATCGGTTCTATTTTACCCCAAACCTGGTCCTTGGCCAAAAATCATTGAATTAGTCAACGACCTGTTGATTTGGGCAGTCGAACCATCAACCTTCTCAATGGTTTTGGCCATTTTATTTTTTTATTTTTAATTTTTGTTGTTAGAACGGGTCATCCGTTCAAACCGAACGATCGAACCGTTGACTTAGAAAATCGGTGGCCAAAACGGTTTCATTTTCAGATCATTTTTTTTAGATGTCAATAATTAGATGAAATAACCTTGTAGTCGTAGTCATGGGAAGGGTGGACATTACAAGGGATCCCAAAACATTGAAAGATAAATCCAAAGTGACCTTAAACACATAAATAAAAATTGGCAGTAAATCTACCAAACTAGAAAACGAAGGAAAAATAAGAAAATTGAATCCAAAGTTCTGCTTTGAGACGGAGCTAAACATACATGCAATCAAAGAAAGAGACGAAGCAGATCGCCTTATAAGGAAAAAAAAACATTGCACAAGAAAACCCAAAGAAAAAAAAATGGAAAAAATAAAATGGTGGTAAACCCTAGACCGCTTTGGAGGATCTTGGAGAAGAAGACCAAACATACAAAAAAAACAAAAGTAGAAAATGAACAAAAAATGAGGACACCGCACACGCTCGAATAAAGCCCATAGTAGAAGAAACCTTTGAATAGTGAAAATCCAAAAGCATAAAAAATCATGGTTTTCGAACCGCCATTGACCAAGATGGATGGACTTTTTGGCCCGGGAATCATCCAGGCAACTGATTCCATTTTACCCCAATCCCGCTCATTGGCCAAAAACCGTTGAATCGGTCAATGGCCCATTAACCCGGGCGGTCACATCGTCGACCTGTTGACTCGTTCAATGGTTTTTGGCTGTTTTTTTAGTTTTTTAATTGGGAACTGTCCAGGCAATCGGTTCCGTTTTATCCCAATCCCAGTCCCTGGCCAAAAACCATTGAATCGGTCAATGACCCATCGACCCGGGTGGTCGAACCGTCGACCCATTGACCCGTTCAATGTTTTTGGCTGTTTTTTTATTTTTTAAAATTTTTGTTGTCAGAACAAACTGTCCGTTCGAACCATATGGTCGAACCGTCGACCCGAAAACCAGTGGCCAAAACGGTTCCGTTTTTGGGTCGTATGAGTCACACGCTTGAATGACATAACATGTATGATACTGCTTAATGGACCTCACACAATCAATTTTTTGCCTGTAATTTTTGTTGTCAGAATGGGTCGTCCGTTCAAACTAGACGGTCAAACCACCGTTTTTTTATTTTTGTAAGTGGGAATCGTCCAGGCAACCAGTTCCGTTTTACCCCAATCCCATTCCTTGGCCAAAAACCGTTGAATCGGTCAACGAGCCATTGACCCGAGTGGTCAAACCACTGACTCGTTGACTCGTTCAATGATTTTTTGCCATTTTTTATTTTTTTTTATTTTTGTTGTCAGAACAAGCCGTCTGTTCGAATCGGGCGATCGAATCATCAACCCAAAAACCAGTGGCTAGGACAATTCCATTTTCAAGTCGTATGAGACACACGCTCGAATGACATAACACGTATGATAATACTTAATGGACCTCACACACTCAATTTTTTGCTTGTAATTTTTGTTGTTAGAATGGGTCGTCCATTCGAATCAGATGATCGAACCATTGACTCAAAAAACGGTGGCCAAAAAGGTCTCGTAATTTTTTGCCTATAATTTTTATTATCAAAACATATCGTCCATTCGAACCAGACGGTCGAATCATCGACCCAAAAACCAGTGACAAATAGGATATATAAAGAATCTTATATATATTGTAATTTGTTTCTTGTAATTTAAGAATTTTCAATAAAGAATCTTATATATATATATATAAGATATAAGATAATTTGTAGGAATGGCAACGGGACGGTTTGGGGCGGGGCACCCCCTCCCCGTTCCCGCCCCAAAGTCATGATACCTTGCCCCGTACCCACCCTGTCCCTAGTGGCAGGGTGGGTTCAGGGCGGGGCATCCATTCCCCATCGAGGACGGAGAATCCCCAATTTTTCCCCGCTCCAAGGCAATTACTTAAAAATTGTCTATTTTATGGACAATTTATACATAGAATATAGGAATTTGGGGGTATTTTAGAACTGAATTATAATACTTTAGGAGTAATTCAAAAATAAAATTATGGGATCCTAGAATTGTAAAAATTTAAATAAAACTTAGAGATATTTTGTATATCGATATTAAACCTAGAGAAATTTTACTAATCTACCTTCCGGTTCAGGGCAAATTCAAAGAATTATATACAAAATCGGTCCCTGCCCCATACTCGGGGAAAAATTATATTTCCCCGTCCCCGCCCCGTCCTTGTTTAGGATCGGGGCAAACCCACCCCATTCGGGGCGGGGCGGGGTCCCGGTTTTACGGGGAAATTGGCATCCCTAATAATTGTTCTATTACTCCGGTGGCAAATGTGGCTGAAACAGAGGGAGACGTTCCCAATACAAGGCTGTCAGGGCTATTCGAACGGGCCTTGCCTTGCACTGTCTGAATCCGGTTTCACTGTGCTACCCGCCACCCAGGTTCATCATTCATGACATAATTGACATTCCATTGATTTCCGGGTAATCGGGTCTCACCTTTCTCTGAATTTAAGTGAAGGTCGCTAGCGCCGGGTATTTTAGCATCCTCCGACGAGTGATTATCACTTCCGGCAGGACAACGCACGGTAAACGCCAAATATAATCATATAAATAGATCGGCATGTGTCGGTTCCCGCTGAAAAAATGAAATAAGATGATTTAATTACTCTCTCCATGGCATCTCGTTCAGGAGGCACTTCAAGATTGTCTGCCATGCTACTCGTCTCTGTATTGCAGGCAAGAAATCGATCTGTCGTTTATTAGTTTCATTGATTTCGTTTTGATATTCTCACGAAGAATGTGATTATATTATGGATTTCACTTCAATAATATCTGTATTTTTCTCTTTTTTGTCTTATTGTTTATAATTTATGAGGTCTGGAATGTATTTTGCTGATATTCCAGCTATTTCTGTCATTTCTTCGGTCATCTAGGGCTATGGCTACTAGCTTAATTGTTGATAATCTTTCGATTATTATGATAATTTCTTTGCAGGAAAGGTTGTTATTTTTAGGGTTTTCTTTCTTCTCTACATCTTTATTAATTAACCTGATTAGGAATTAAAGTAACGTGTGTTTTTCTTTTATTACTTCGATAAACTGCATTTTGGAATTGATTTCTTAAGTTCCTTCGGGTTGCACCCCATCCCCTGTTTATGAATTTCCACACGTGCCAGCTAGTATTTTGAGTTAACTCTGTATTTGGAAGAAGCTGCTGGAATAATATGTAATTACGCTTAGATCCATTTAGTCTACTAGTTTACTCAGCTCAAGGTCCAATCGAGTTTGCTTGAGGCAATCTTAAGCACTTGAACCACATTTTTGAATTAGAGTAAATTAAAATCTCTAGCCTAGAGTGAATTTACATCTATATTAAGTCACAATCCTATTGGATCATTGTCCTTTTTTAGATCATGAGATGAATACACGTTTGAACAGAGGAAGATTTTGTAGTTTGCATCTGTTGGATAAGGCTTTTTTATCATTGTTAGCTGAATTTTAAAGGTATCTGCAGAGCATGTTGTCAATGCAGTGAGCTGATGACTAGTTGCAATGTATGAATTTTATATAATGATGTGATCTTATATATTAGATGTGCTATAGAACATGTAGCATGTTTCTCTGATTTGCAAACATAAAAGGGAAGGTTGGACAAGCAAAATTACTGAGCAGCAAAAAGGAGGGGCAGGATTTTGGAGAAATGTACTAGAGCATCGGTGCTTTGGACAGTTTGGGAGGAAAGGAACACAAGAATTTTTGAAGATAAAGAAAGAAGGAAGCTCTGGTTGAAGTCATAACTCTAAGAGTGGCACACTGGGCTAAAGTCCGAAACTTTGCTTAGATTTTAAAGTTGAGAACTTCTTCAGGTCTTGGGGTGTAATTGTTGCCTCATCATCCAGAAAACATAAAATAGTTGAAGAGTAGTTACCTCCAAATTGTGGCTGGAAGAAACTGAATGTTGATGGAAGTTGTGTGGGCAATCCAGGTCCCTCAGGCATAGGCAGAATCATTAGGAATGAAGAAGGAAATATTATAGCCCTATACTCAGGGCCAGCTGAACAAGGTGGTGTGGTTAGATCAGAGCTATTGGCTGCAGTATATGGGGTTAAGAAGGCCAAAGATCTGGGTATTGATAGACTGGTCGTTGAGGGTGATTCGAGAACTGTTGTGAAATGGCTGAAGAAAGGGGAAGGGGTATCATGGTATCTAAGTAATGAACTCAGGCGATTTAAATGGCTGTCAAAAGACATGGCAATCCAAGTTAAATGGGTTAGGAGAACTTCCAGCAGTCTGATAGATGGTTTAGTTAAGCAAGGGGTACAAAGAAATTCCTTGTATTGGGCTCAATTGTTATTCTTGGATTGGGGGTCAGCTTCTCTGAAGCTGTTTTTCTCTTTCATTACTACCTCTTGTTGTAACTATTTCTCTTTTAATGAAATCATTTCTGTGTTGCTGATCAAAAAAAATTACTGAGCAGCGATATTGGATTTGTTATTTTTGATATAATGTAAGATTGGGGTGTTTGTGTGTTTGTCTTATTTTTGGGATATTGGAAAATACTCCATTAGTGGTTTTAACTTTGGGCAGTTTTTCTTTTTCTGCAGTGGGGGGTGTAAATGAGTTCTTTTTAGGGCAGGGGTGATTGTTGTTCTATTGTAATTCCTCTCCTTGGTGATTTCTTATCACCAGGTCTTGCATTCTCTTATTTTAATGAATTTTATGTTAAATAGAATGTAATCCCCTTGTTTATGGCAACTCTATACCAGCACAGTGTAGATTGGAAGAAAGCCTAAAAGAAATACTCCAATATTTCTCTTTCCTTTTAGGTTCTGTTTCTATTTTATATACCCTTACCCAACCGTGATATGATCAGTGATGCTTGAAGCCATTTGAGTAAATAACAATAAAAGACATATATAATACTTTTTTTTTATTATTAGACACATAATGATAGAATCCACATATAATACTATTTCAAAAGGGACCCATAAAACTTCAAAAAATTTTGTCCCAACTAGGCGGACTAGTTGTTAGTTGACCTATTCAATGCCCAGTTGTTCTAGGTGACTGCATCATGGTATCAACAGGCTACTTAGTGATGCAGTGGGAATGACCCTAAAGAGTTGCTAATTCTGTTTTATTTTCTGTTCTGTTGGAAGAAAATAGTTGCCCACCTAAGTATCCAATCCAATAGAATCAACTTGAGGTATATGTGAAATAATCAGATGAAACGTGCCCAAACCAGATGTAAGATGCTTTGCATTGAGACTGAATTTTCAAATTACCACATACAGGTAGAGCTGCATATTTTTGTTAGATGTTAGATCATAGATGCATTGGCATGGTTGTGTGGTCTACGTTTCAACTAGTTAGAAAATTCTGCATGAGGGCATATATTACTTCATTCACCATGAATGCTCAGGATTCCCATGTTTCTGCATATAACAGTTTATGTCATGGAATTCCAGCTAGACTTTTCAGGGTCTTAAAAGTTAAAATATTGAAGTTTGCCTTACCAACTTACATTTGGACAGGCCTGGTACCACCTAAAATTAAGGCTTGCAAAAAAGAAGACCCAATTGGTGCCTTTGACCTGACATGTGTTTTCTCTGTAGAGCAAGTCGTGAAACTCTCTCTCACTTACTAATCTCCTGTCCCTTCACTTTTAGCATTTGGGGGCATGTTTACCCTCTTTTGTTGCAGTTAGGTGCCACCAAGAAATGTGGGTCTATTGTTTGAAGCATCCTTCTTCAGCCTTCTGGGAGAAGGGGAAGATTCTATGGAAGTGCGTTAGAGCTGTAATTTTATGGGCTGTTTAGGAGGAAGATCCTTGCTCTCTCTTTGGGTGTATGTGGATCACTCCTCAGGGTGAGTGAGTCTCTTCAGCCCAAATTTCCTAAGGTAGACAAAGAAAAGAGGAAGAGCGACATGGAAAACAGTTAGGGCAGCAATGGTGTGGACTGTTTGGGAGGAAAGAAACGGAAGGATCTTCAATGAGAAGCACAGTTCAAAGGAAGAAATTGTGGAAACTATAAAGTTGAACAGTGGATAAAAACATTAGAGCTCTTCCTAAGCTATTCAGTGACTGACATGATAAGAGCGTGGAATGAAGTGGCACACTTTTCTAGTGTAAAAGAAAAAAAAAAGGTGATGGAATGGAAGCCCTTCAGGAAACCCGGGACTGGTAGGTATTGGTGGCCTGTTTAGAGACTCCTCAAGTAAAGTGATGGCAATGTATTCAGGCCCTTTAGGGGTAGAAGATTCACTAAAGGCTGAGCTGTTAGTGCTGCTACAAGGTCTAAAACTTGCTAAGCAAGCAAACCTACAAAACTTGGAGATCGAAGGGGACTCTAAACTGGTTATCTCTTGGACTACCACAAGGTGTAATGTTCTTTGAATTTATAGACATGCCCTGAGGGAAGTTGAAAGCCTGGCAAGAGAACTCAATGTCACTTTTTCTTGGATCAGAAGGACTGCAAATGGGATGACCAACTCATTAGCCAAGCAGGGGTCTATAGGCAGCAGTTGTTTTGGGCGTTATTGTAGTCTCTTTTTTGGGCTTGATTGATACCTTGTGATATATTGTAATTTTGTAACTTGATTTCTCACTTATTAATAAGATTAATTTCCCTTGCTGATAAAGAAGAAGAAGAAGAAGAAGAATGCAAGAATCCTTAAGAAAGAATGTAACAAAAAAGAGGCTATAATAAAAAACCGCTTAGTAAGGGTGGTGCTTTGGATGAAGACCTTACCCACCTTTGACTCTTATTCTACTAATGGTATTTTGAGAGATTGGTTTATAGTGGAAAATTCTACAATAATAAAATTTCCTATCCACTCTTCGGACACCACCAAATACACATCAGATTAAACTCAACTTTGATTGAAGAAGTATTGGCAATCCAGGGAGATCAGGTATAGGAGGGGTCTTTAAGGATCAAAATGACATGATTTTGGTACTATATAGCCCTGTCAAACTTTTAAAGGTGTTGGCGTTGGCTATTATAGGATGTAATTATAGACCTTAAATAAGATTATGTGTTCCATGAATTTGGTCTATGCTAATTTGTTTCGATATAAGAAATCTGGCAATTTCTTTGATACTGGAAGGGTATGATACCTGAAAATATTTAACCAATCAGAAACCCATGTGAATTTGAATGAATACCAGTTGAGTGACTACCAAATGGATGATACTGGTTGATTGGTTATCGCCTTTTCGGTAACATACCTTTTTGGTAAGATAGTTAGACTCATGAAGTTGAGCTATTTGGCATTCTTGACAGTGTTGGCCGGCTAGAAATAAGAGGAAGAGAAGAGAAGAAAAGAGAAGAAGAAGAGAAGAGAAGAGCGGAGAGAAGAAAGAAGGTTTTGCAATGTAACAGTACTGGCGGCGCCAGTCTTTATTTTACTATATATAGGGTGGCAGAAATAACAAGGGAAAAGACCCTTGTGCCCCTGAGTACAATAACCGACATAACATAAATAAAAAA